GGAACATGTTAACTTATCAAGTCAAATCCATACTTCATCGTTGTTTTTGTCCTGTCGGTGAAGATTTTATAATGGCTTTGATGCTGTTTTTCTAGGTTTGATGTGTAAATTTGTGACTGATGAAACCCATCCATGCAAATTGTGCTACTTCGCTGAAAGTCCTTGGGAAGGAACAAGTCGTGAATTTCAAGTCTGCTGGGCGCCCTAACGATGCTTTTGAAGTTTGAAGGATGTCAATACGCCATCAGCGCGCGTAAAATCCTTCAAACCCAGCTTGTCAATTTTCTTGTACCCCAGGCACGTTTGAAGCAATATTTTGCATTCACTTTAAAGCAAATGCTCTTTCCCTGAAATAGAACGCACAGCTTGCCTTCTGGAGATTTGGTCTGAATTCTCTTGAGACGCAATTCCAGCACTAAAACTGCCATTTTTGTTACGCACAATAAACCTACTTCATACATCGACATTTTGTGACCTAGTATAATACTATGTAGCCTGACACTGTCACGGTCTTTTATAGGCAATGCTTCACTGCTTCAGGTGGCTTTTCTGCAAGTCACGTCACGTATATGCAAGAATCTTTGCCAGACAACGAAATTGTCACATGTGTATTTTTGGTAGACAATGCAATATTTAGATATAGATAAGGCTATTTCTTGCACCCAATTTGTAACCCTTTAATGCATACTTAGCATGACCATAATATTGACTATAACTGGATCTGAAATGCATAACAAGAACCCATCATTTATTAAGCCCTGACATAGTATTCCACCTGAATTGGTATGATAAGAGCTTGTAGCTTGTTGTTTCAATTTTATATAGGAAGAATTCTTCGGGCTATCGGAGGAATGTTCCTTTATTCAACCCTTTCACGTTCGGATGGCAAAGTGCTTTTAAGCAGGGTAATTTTTCACCAAATCCTTTTAGCGGAGTTACGCTTCCGCGAGTTCTTTCAAGTTGTGACAAATTGAGGATGTGGTTTACCCTAAGGTGCATTCACATCCGGCAGTCAGGTTTTCTTCCTGGTTTGAAAAGTTATTTGACTGAAGGCGGAGATTTCCAACAAATAGCAAAGTAACAATTGTATATCATGAATAGTGAAACGATAGTCATCATAAAATTCTTTATGTAGAAGCCTAGTAGGGTTTAATCTTAAGGTGCAACATCTGAGTTTTCAGGTAGAAAATTCCTTCAAACTCCTGTGAAATAATTTGAGTAAATTTGAGTATATCAACGTACAACCGCCCTTCGGCGTAACACACCAGCTTCGCAGGCACGCGGCGCGGCGGCAGCTAGCTAAATCACACCGAACAACTTGTTACACGCACAATCTTTGCACATTTAATTGCAGGAGTTGTTTAAAGCTTTCTAGTGATGATGCCCCAACTGTGCTTGGTGGCAACGAGTTCCACTGTACGATAGCTCTGGGGAAATACGTGTTTTTGAACACCTCAAGTCTTGGTTGATAACTCTGACATTCGAAAGCATGACTGTTTCTTGTTCTTTTCTGGGCTGGTATCAGATACTTAGTGGTTGGTACGTCCACCAGTTTGTTACTCTACAGCATGTAGGCTATCTTATCGTACGCTGTATGTACGCTTAAGACGTAGCCTATACCATAACGTTAATGACATAGATGTAATATTTCCTTAAACCTTATACTATGGGCTTAGTTGTGACGTCAGCATCGTAGTGCCTACGTCATGCATACGTCACCAGGGACATGTCATGACCGCAAGTAGTCCTGGGTATCTATAAAGAACGCCATGATGTAATCATATTAGTCATGAAAGGGTGTGTACATGAACATGGTATGGGGATTAGTGTGAATTATTTATAGGTGGTGCCTGGTGCTGGTTTAAGGGCTTAAAGGTATCCAGTGCAGTTTTTAGGGCTTGAAAACCCGATTTTTCAAAGCCAATATTCTAGTCAGTTTTCTACATACTGAGTTGAAACCACACTATCCCATTTTATATTGACCCTCATGGAGCAAAAAATTCCCAACATTCTGATGGAAAATGGTTACTGGAAGGGCCTTGGGCTGAGTTTTAGGGTATCTCCCAGAAAATAAAGGACCCATCTTGGGGTTTGTTTCTGCAGTTTAAAAGCCCAAAGTATGAAATATTGGCTCAAATGTGCTAATGTAAAGCAGATTGCCTTATTCAGAAATATACCAGTTTTGCAGCCCTGAAATCGCATTGGATGCCTTTAATCATTAACACGTTATAGATGAAAGATATTATTATGTGGTTTATTCCCAATAGTAGAAAGGTATCATTAGATTTACTGTTTATTATTGGGAACGCTTTTTATCCTTTTGATAGTATCATCATGTACTGAATGGGGTTGTAAAAGAAATGTTTTGGCTTTATATTCAGGCTAGGATTCATTCACAAAGTCAACCTTTAATGATGCAAATTTGTATGGGCTTCTCTGAAAAAAGAATCGTAGTTAGGGTCTCTGTGAAACACGAAAAAGACACCACATAAGAATAAACTGCAACAAAACCCGTGAATGTTAAGGGTACCATGGCTTCAAAAGCTTCTCTTGGTCATGAAAGCATTTTCACGAAAGATATAGTACCTCTTCCACGTTATGTTATCACATGATTTGTTGTTGGATCATAAACTGAAAAAGGGTTTTTGGACATTTCCCTCTTCCGTTGGCGACGGTAAAGCCTTGAATTTCTTATCAAAATCGTTTTGCATTGCAACAGTATGTTGTATGTACTGATGACGAATACCGTGATATAGTTGAACCAGGAAAACCACAAATGCCTGAAGAAAAGAATCAAAACATTTCTTTATTACAAGAGCCGAGAGTCCATATCCTGTCATCTTTTAGCAGTTAATAGAACCGAATCTATCTAATATATGGCCTCCTTCAGTTTATATTGACCATGGTAAAATCCTAATTGATATCAGCCCTACAGCTATGGCTATGGCTGAATATCCTATACTAGAATGACAGTCTCTGCCACATAGATCACATTTGTAAGCTTTCTATCTAATGATGATGTTTTAGTAAAAAATAATAATAAAACACAACTGCTCTCTCTATTGCCTAGCTTTAGACTTTTAGATAAAACAGAAAAATTCGCACGTATTCCTTATTAAACTTGACAACCCATGTATCATTAGCTCCATATGTTAATGCACCTACAGCTGCCTCAAGATACGAGAAGCTGAACCTCAAAAACAATAGTTTGCATTAGTATGTATAGTTTTAGCAAGATATTACTGTAATGTTTTTCTGTTTGGTCATGACCTGTACTTAACTTGTGAGGGCTTTAACGTAGAATAGAGATATATCTTTCATTCATTGACCTTCGAGCAAGACTGACGTTAGGCCACACCAATTTAATTTCTTGGTTAACGGATTTTTCTAGAAAAGTAATGGAGCGGGCGGGCGAAGAAAAATGAAAATAAATACATGCCTATAGGCATCCTATTATGGCCCAAAATGGTACGATAGGAGCCATGAAGTCAACACACCAGGCTGGTTCAAAATTAAAACAATGAATTTTGAACTTTTAATGATACCATTGCATTGAGAGATGGAATAACTTCAACAACTAGTAAGAAAAGGACTATTTTTTGCACATTTTGCAGTTGATTCTGATCGTTTTTTTTTTTTTTGCAAATCAGAAAAAAATGAAGCGGGCGAATCCGTTAACCAAGGAATTAAATTGGTGTGGCCTTATCTGAAAACGTCAGATCACGCGATAGGAATCCACGTACGGTCAGTCCTTACGTTTCCCAGATCACGTCACCCCTCAGCTAGTGTTACTCCAGTCCACAGTGTGTCAGGGCTGCACGTAGGGAGAGGTCATTGCCGTGTTATATTTAGCTCAGAGTGAACGTAGAAAAGCTCTATAACAGACGGGAGAGAGACGGAGGGAGGCGGAGGGTGAAGTGTGGTGTGGACGATCTAACGGGGAGGAATTTAGAGCTGATTGACTTTGGTGGGGAGAACGCTGTTTTGAATGTGGTGAGAAATACTTCTCAATGAATTGTGTGCAGTTAGGTGATAAGTCTGGTAGCGCTTGTCATTTGTATCGCAGCAAGAATTGCTTAGAAGAGATATTGGTTTCCAAATGGAGGTAGTTTGTCTTGGGCGTTATATTTGAGCAAGAATTTCCTGAACGAAATATTGTCTACAGTACCATTGCCAGTACCACTAGCACTTGCTATGCAGTTAGAAGAGTAGCCTTGGGTGAGTATGTTCTGTGTTACAAATGACTAAGATTTTGAGCAAATTTGCTTGCACCTCAGTTGCTGTTTTAACATTGCCTACTGTACAATCGTCAGTATCCCTAGCACTTGCTATATACAGTTAGAAGGGTAGCCTTGGTTGAGTATGTTATGTGTTACTTATGACTAAGATTTTGATCAAATTTGCTTACACTTGAGTTACTCTTTTGATATTTTGTTAGAATCCTTCGCACTTGCTATACAGTTAGAAGAGTAGCCTAATTCAGTTATTTTTATTCGTGTATTCGTAGCATTTGGAAGCATGTTCTGTGTTACTAATGACTGTGACTGTAAGATTTGGATCAAATTTGCTTGGGGCTGCTGAGTGCCTGCTTTAATCTCGGCCTTGCATTTTCATTAAGGAGTCTTGAAACAGATTCTGGACTTCGCGTTGCATCGGAATGCGGTTCAGTTTCCCTAGGCGCAGCCATTGAGAACTGTAGCAGCTTCAGTAAGCTTACCTCTGGGCAAATGTTATTCGAAACAGCACCATATTGGAACGTGCGGAACGTAATATTGAGGCTATCATAATTCAGGCTACTTGAGGAGACAGTTGGGAAGACAGTTCACAGCAATGTATTCAAGCTACATTGCAATAGAGCATTCTTTTAAAAATGCAAGACTTTACTTGTAATGTAATGTACTTGTAATGTACTTGTATAGTGGTCTTACTGCATTTTTGCTGAGACAACGTGTGATGCTAGATGGCTTTTATAATGGGTCAAGTACATGTAGCATTCTCTCTATATAAAATGGTTCAAAATACTTACCAACATGTTATTGAGGCTGTTACTCAATCCATTATACGTCATAGTCTATGGTCGGGATTTAGACACCAGAGATGGACATTCAGTCCGTGGGGTCGGGGCACGTGTCAAAACGGGCCAGGGTTAGGACACGTGTCAAAACTATCCACGGCGAGGTCAGGGCACGTGTTAAAACGATCGTTCCATCGCGAGACTGGAAAATTGGCCCTCCCCACAGCCCCTTTGTTAGCTAGCCTTTGGGTCGTCTCGGTTAGAGATTGACTTATCTTCTCTTGATTGTGGTACGTCAGTCATTCTAACGCGCAAAAAACAACGTAACGTTGGTCGAAAGAGACGAGATTGTCCGCAGCATGCTGGGTGATCTGTATCAGTCATAAGAAGGATTTAAGTGCACGCCAGTATAAAGATAGACATCGACCCTGATCCTGGACCAGGGGGTCAAGAGTTCGAAGCCCAACAGTCAAATTCAGATTCTCATACTTATCTTTGTAATACCTAGCACTAGCGTACATTTTATGCATTAAAGCTGTTCATCTCATGTGGTCAATCGTTCTTTTGCTGTCGTGCTGTCGTTCATGCTGTCGTGCTGTCGTTGATTCCATGCTGTCGTGCTGCACATGTCATTCATTGCTGTCGTGCTGTCATCTATTTTCATGCTGTCGCACTGTCATCCATCTCGTATCTCGTGCTGTAGTGCTTTCATTCATTGCTGTCGTTCTGTCATCTAGCATTATGCTGTCGTGCTGTCATCCAGTTTTATGCTGTCGTGCTGTTGTACATTTCATGCTGTTATGCTGTCGTTCTATGCTGTCGTGCTGTCGACGTCGTTCATATTATATGGTGTCGTGCTATCATTCCATGCTGTGGCACTGTCATTTCATGCTGTCATCCATCTTATGCTGTCATGCTGTCGTTCATTCCAGGTAGGAGAAAAGACGCGAGTGACGGAGGACAGGGGCGAAAGCAAAGGCCGCGCACGGTTTTTCCTTTTCCGGATATCCACCTGAAACATAAAGTCACCATGCGTAAGCTTTACTACCTGCAAAAGACGGGGTTCCTGGCCCTGTTTACCATGATGGTGGTGATGTCGGCTGTATTGATGTTTTTATAATGAGACTGTCGGACGATGTGGGATAAAGGCGGCTTTATCCATGGGCTGTCACGGAAGCAACTGAACCAGCATTAACGTTTATCCACACTCTTGCCTACCTGTATGCTGTGTCTGTGCTGTCACATGTAACCAGCCTGGCTGGATCGACCATCGGGAAGGAATCGAAACTACGGAGCTACGACGAACCGTCTTCTGTAAAGTCTTAAGAGGAGTTCAAGATGTCAAGACGACCGACTTACAGCAGGCAAGACTCCTTGTCCGCGACCCTTCAGGAGGCCTTCATAAAATACGACAAGAAGAAAACGGGAAAGGTAAGACAGAGTGGATCATGGAGAATTTCTTGCATCAGTAAGCAAGACCAGCGCGAAAAGCCTTTATTTGGTTACGACATCTTGTAGCATTAGTAGCAAGCTACGCTCCTTTTTTTCTCGAGTATACGGGCCAGGCAAACTGGTAAGGATGGCATGCATACAGGAGCAATGGTGTTGGTAGTTTTACCACATTTGCCTTTTGTACCTAGTGTGTATAATTCATGAGAAAAAAATTGTAATTAAGTTGTATAATTCTTGAGGCGTTTAAAAATGTTGAGCAATGTTAAATATAAACCAGGACAAGCAGGACCTTATTTACAAAATTCATGAGCAAATGCTACAATGGCCTTTGGCTAAGATGAGACTATTGTACTTTGAACAACATTTTTGTCTTGGACTTTCTTACACCTTTCGATGGATTTGTCCAAAATTTGACATGTCCGCAGTTGAAAAGGGGTTCAAACACTTTAGTCATACTGCATATCACGGATGATTGTGTCCTTTGAACTATTGTTTTTTTTTTTTTTGGTAGATGGACATCCACGACTTGTTCCGAGCGCTGCGGATGCTGGGACTGAACCCTACGGAGGAACAGATCATCTCCATCCGCAGGGACATCGATGACGGGTCCGGGGTGGTCCACTTCGACGACTTCTGCAACATCGTCAGGAGGTGAAGCCTCTCTTTGTTATTTTACTTCCGTCCTACATTCGTTTGGCGACAGAATCAAGCTCTGCAACATGTAGATCTTAAGATCTAGAAAAAGTTACAAGGCGATCAAATAAACAATTGAAAACTTTACAGGTGTAAAGCAGTTGGGAGAGAGTTAACCTATCTTTGTCTATGGACAAACCATCTTTGTACTTTGTACTGTTCAAGATGTTCATCAAATAATGCCAGAATGTGTTCAACAACTTCTGTACTTTTGAGAATGGGCAGACTTTGCTTGCACAACTCAGGACTGTCCTAATTTCGGTGTTTGTCAGTAATCACTCTGTATACTGGGCAGGCCAAGAGAATTTTTTTGTTTCTGTACAACTTGGAATTGGTAAGATTGTAGGTCTTGCCGTGTCAATAGAGAAGTGATTTAACTAAAAAATAAGTTAAGATGACCTAGCGCCATACTGCAGTTGTTTGTTTCTGCGCATAGCGTGCCTCTATTAAAGTGGTGAAGGGTTTTTGATAGGTTTTTGTATATTTTTTTTCTTTCTCCAGATTAATGTACCAAGCAGAGCAGGAACACGCTGCCGACGATCTGAGAGTGGCGTTCCAAATGTTCGACAGGGAAGGGTCGGGGTACATACGGGCAACCGAGTTTAGGTACAGACGTTTGCGTTCCCTGTTGGCCACTTAGAGTTAGACATGGACTACCCTATGGTGTTTAGGAGTACAACGGACAGCAAGCTTAGCTTGTTTTCCCTCTGTGCATTTAAAAACAATTGTGTCGTGCCGATACAAATGCTATTTCTGACCAAAACTCACTAATCCTGTTACATTAACATATAAAACCAGCAATTATGTAATCTTGTACCCGATTAAAATCACATCTCTCCACAAGAGAACATATTCAACCGTTCAAGTTTAAGTACACGAACTTGTTTGTTTTCCTACTGTTCGGTTTGAAGGTCATTATTTTTTGTTCTCCTGCCAAAACTACGGAAATAGTACAAGGTCACATTTGATGGACGTTGCCCAGACGAAATTCATGATGTTATGATCCAATATTTTATTTTTCTTGGCTCCATTGGAGCTTCTTTGTTTTCCTTCTTCTAGCATGTTGAGGGTACTTCTAATTCGATTATATTGATGATCTCTTGCCAGAACCACGGAAATAGTACAAGGTCACATTTGATTGACGTCGTCCAGACGAAATTCATGACGTTATGATCCACTATTTCATTATTCTTGGCTCCATTGGAACTTCTTTGTTTTCTTCTAGCGTGTTAGGGGTACTTCTAATTCGATAATATTTATGATCTCTTGCCAAAACCATTGAAATAGTACAAGGTCGAATATGATTGACGTTGCCCAGACGACATTCATAATGTTATGATCCAATATTTTGTTTTTCTTGGCTCCATTGGAGCTTCTTTGTTCTCCTTCTTCTAGCATGTTGAGGGCACTTCTACTCCGATTATATTTATGATCTCTTGCCAAAACCACTGAAATAGTACAAGGTCACATTTGATTGACGTTGCCCAGACAACATTCATGATGTTATGGTCCACTATTTCATTATTCTTGGCTCGACCGGAGCTTCTTTGTTTTTCTTCTTCTAGCATGTTGAGGGCACTTCTAATTCAATTATACTCATGATCTCTTGCCAGAACCACTGAAATAGTACAAGGTCGAATATGATTGACGTTTCCCAGACGACATTCGTGATGTTATGATCCACTATTTTATTTTTCTTGGCTCGACCGGAGGTTTTTTGTTTTCCTTCTTCTAGCATGTTAAGGGCACATCTAATTCGATTATATTTATGATCTCTTGCCAGAACCACTAAAATAGTACGAGGTCACATTTGATGGACGTTGCCCAGACGAAATTCATGATGTTATGATCCAATATTTTATTTTTCTTGGCTCCATTGGAGCTTCTTTGTTTTCCTTCCTCTTGCGTGTTAAGGGTACTTCTAATTCGATTATATTTATGATCTCTTGCCAAAACCACTAAAATAGTACAAGGTCGCATATAATTGATGTTGTCTGGACTTATCTATTCACTATGATGTTTTTCTTGGCAGGAATGGATGCCAGTTGTGCATGCCTTTTTGAGCAAAGCAGCACGAGGTGTCTTGTATGGGCGAACGAATAACAACATGTTTTGAACAACCTTATACATCGTCCATGCATGCTGTAGACACTGTCGGAATGACATGCCTTACTGTAACGGTCATTCACTGTCTCTCCCGTTTGAAAACAGACAGGAGGTTGATGACATTAGGATATGACATGACACTGATGCTTGAGTGTGACTCGAAAAACTGTCGCCACAATCTACCCAGATATTAGCAGTTTTTTTTATTCCAACATGTAATCACAAGACTTGGTGACGGCACACTCAAGTTTTTTCAACTTATATTAATGCCGCCACCAATATAGGGGACAATATCATACTCATTTTCACCTGAGCGAAGTGAGGAAAGTCGTGTAAAGTGCCTTTCCCACGGGCACAAGATCGGTGGCATGTCAAGACTCGAACCCGGGACCTCTTGGTTCCGAGTCGAGCACTCTGCCGCTACGCCACACGACCCCAGTAATCTTTATCCTTTCTTTTGTGTCTTTCTCCTTACAGAAAAGTGATGACGACACTAGGATACCGGATGAGCGCGCAAGAAGTGGACGACATCTTGAAGATGGTTGACGTCACCGGAGATGGAATGATCAGTTATGAGGAGTTTATCTCCGTTTTAGCAGCGTGAATTCGAATGAGAGAGAAAAAAAATCGACATCTGCTTTTTATTGATTTATACTGACAGCTATGGGGTTAGTTTAAGTCTCTTAGCTTCAGCTAAAAAAATTGAAAACTAGAATTAACCGAGAATAAATTTATAAGGGGATACTTTTATTGATAAAATGATGTAACGATATTACTAGTAGATGTGGATATAATTCTAAGTCCTTAAACCTTTGGGTATAAATTTGAAAACTAGTAAACTAACAATAGGATTATTTAAGTTTTCTAATTGATTATGAATAATAATTACTGGGGTGATTTATTATATTAGAGCTTGTAGGGTGTGATGTACATGTATAATTTTGCTTGTGTAAAGAATCCAATGGCTTATTTTAGTTTAGATTAATTTATTGAGATTCTTTTTAGCCCCTAAACGGGCTAATCTTCCAGAGCTCCAACACAAAATATATACAGGTAAAGAAACAGAACAAATTTACAATTACAGCTATTATACACTGTCACAACTATACAATATTTAAAAAAAGAGATTCGAGGAATTACACATAAAAGTCATGCCTATACATAACTTTCATACACAAAATACAAATTCTGCATTAAGGTAATCATCTTACTTTTAACAAATGTTTGTTAACTGTTTGACATGAGATATGGCTTAGGGGTACCCTGGATGCCAAACTAGTATCGGGCCGTTAGCCGTTTTCCTTCGGCAGCTAAGAACCCTTCGCCCGCCTATTACTAGTAATAGGGCCGGACAAACCCCTCGGGCTCAACTCCCCCGTAGCGGTAATTTAGATAGGCGGGCGAAGGGTTCTTGGCTGCCGAAGGAAGACGGCTAACGGCCCGATACTAGTTTGGCATTCAGGGTAGCTTAGGGGTAACGAACGATAGTCACTACAATAGCTCGTTTGCTATGTGGTGACTTGTATGTAGGAAGCAAGTTTCGTCGGTTGGAAAATTCGTCGTTGCGCATATTCATGTGGTGTAACGTACGGCATGTACGTTTTAACGTGTGGTATGAACGTCTTCGTGCAACGCTTTCTCTGACGAAAAATGAACACGCTTGGTAACATCGACATTCATGACTGTACATACTTGTATGTACTTGTTTCGTACCTCTTTGCTAAATGAACTAAGGTATCAAGACATGCGTTACATCTACATGTTGTTATATTGGATTTGAAGGTCTAAAATTGTTGTAAATACATGTATGTGATGGCATCGTCTGGGGGTTTATATGTTATTTTGCTGTTGCTGCTATTCTGTTGTGTTATGCCGTACCTTTATACCTAATTAAATTTGTGTATGTATCATGTAATTTTAATGAGTTGACGACGTTGATTTTAATGTCCTGTCCTTATCTTGTGTATCTTGTTGTACTTGTCCCCAGGGTTAGAAAATAAATAAAAAATAAAATATGTCTAATTATAAGTCAGTACTTTGGGAAACTTACGGTACACGTGTTGCTATGTGAAGTATTCTGGTCTGACTCCAACTGAATGGTTGGGTTCCAATGGCCACATCAGATGTTTCTATTTGTGGCAGGTGTCGTATTTCTTGTGTGCCGAGTGTGTATGACTTGTTGACCCGAGTTGAGACTCGCTCGGCATTCTGAAGGCTTCCGATTACCAGACAAAATAAAACTGTCTAGAAATAGCATAGAGTCGTCATAGCGCCATTCATATGTTTTATCCTTGCTGGGGCTACATCATTTATCTGTATCAGTATAGCCGGTATAACCGCCCTTCGGCGGAACACACCAGCACGCACGCAGCGCGGCCGCAGCTAGCTATATCACGTACACCGAACGACTTGTTACACTCAATCTTTGCACATTTAATTGCAGGAGTTGTTTAAAGCTTTCTAGTGATGATGCTCCAACTGTGCTTGGTGGCAACGAGTTCCAGTTTACGATAGTTCTTGGGAAATACGAGTTTTTGAATACCTCAATTCTTGGTTGATAACTCTGATATTTGAATTCGGCATGACTGTTTCTTGTTCTTTTCTGGGCTGGTTTCAGATACTTAGTGGTTGGTACGTCCACCAGTTTATTAGTCATTTTGTAGATCATGCACAGTCTGGACATTCTACGTCTGTCTTCCAGCGACCCCCACTGTAGGTTTCTTTTTTTTCATTTCCGTTACACTAGCACCCATTTGATAACTATTCGTGCAGAATCTTGCAGCTTGGTTCTGTACCCTTTCCAGTTTGTCTTTCTTTGTACATGGATCCCATAATAATGTAATGCGTTAGTATCTCAAGGATACATCTGGTTTCCCCTGGTGAAAAAACTCAATCATAGTGGAGAAGCGCTAGGAAAGTATTGGTGTGTCCGCGGGCAATGTCCTTGGTGCTGAAATGTAGATGCCTAGTCAGGACAAGAGTTTGACAGGCAAAATATTGTAATTTGAGTTTAGAACAACATGATTATGTTTACCGAAGGAAAACATATTGTTTTTACTCAGTTTCTTCCTCTTCTGTTCCAAACACTAACCTCTGACCTGACTAATGACATGATTTGTTGACGTATCACCATGGTGACTGGTGTTGGGTTACATAATGTTGCAATTTCATGGTCTGCTCTGCTCCTGTCACCATATACTTGTAGTACATGTATGAGAATGTGTTTGAGTAAGAATTAACAGAGCAGACCATATCCGAAGGTAAACATTATGCATTTGGTTTGCAAATTAAATTAGATTATGTTAATTGCAACGTTATTTCCATATTCAATGAAACAAATAATTTACAATTAAACTATTCTTACTCCATAGGTCAATGAATTTACAGTATGGTTCTTTTCATAACGTGGCTTTTTATTGAGAGTGAGAGACCTTACATGGTTCTACCATAGATGGATCTATAGAACGTTACAAAATACAAGAATTTACATAACTTGTATTCTGCAGATCCGTACACGTTTCTATAACAAAAAACGTAGTTCAATTTACGCCAACCAAGAATAGAAAAAAAAACTTTAAAAAAGTTAAAACCAACTGAGTACATTATTAATTTCATGACTACATATATATCTATGACTATGACTGTTGTTAACGTCAAGCAGATGTAAGAAAGAAATAATAGTAACGTTTGAAAACTTGTCACACACTCTGGGCGCTCAGTAATTTGGGTGCCAGATACAATCTCGGCTCAAAGCATCTGCTTGTAATTTAAAACTGTGTGACCGGCCTCTCCTTCAGCCATTTCGCGATGCCCGGGTTGGATGAGACGTTCCCCATGACTTTGTTCAGGTTGACGTAACCTTTGAGATGGTCCCCCGGGATGAAGCCGGAAATGAAGCCGACGAAGGCGAAGAAGTTGACGTCAGCCCAGGTCAACTGTAGGGGGGGTGGGGGGTGGTTGAGGGGATATTAAAAAAACAAACGTTAGATAGGACGTTATGCTGTGTGTGAAAATGCAGGTAGACTTGTTTTCATATTAATTGTTTTCATTATTTTTTAAATTGAAATTTGGGAGATCATTTATTATTCCACTGGTACAAAAAGCACTTGTCAATCTGCATCATGTAACAATAGAACACATATAGTGTGAGCAACGAGCAATAATAGTCACGTGTTTGTAACCGTAACTCTCGCGAGAATACGTTTTGATGAGTCATTAATTATCCTGACGAAGGCGACAGTGGTCCTTGAAAATTTGATCTCTGTGTAATCCTTGTGTTGGAATAACGTTCAGCATTTTTATTATCATTACTAGATGATAGTAAACACAGATAAAGTTTCATGATGAAAACGTACCGAGTTCCCCACGAAATATCCCTCCGCGCTCGCCAGCTTTTCAAACAGGTCAAAGAACGGCGGCATGGTTTTCTCTGCCATTTCCTTCTTCATTTCTTCCTGCAGAAAAAAAGAAAGAAAACGATATTCGCATTTCAGGCCCTGTTCAGACGAAAGCGTTGAAAGTGCATTAGATCCAGATTCCACCGAAGCAGGATTCATGTGGCCCCATCTGAAAGTCTTGTTCACACGGAAACGCCTAAACCGCGATTAGGGTAAATCACATTCCTCACATCTGGTCCACGTGCGCCACACGTTCCTTTCAAACCGTGTCCAAGCACGATTCTCCTAAAATGCATTCATTGTTGTTTGATGATGAAAACACGCAAGGTATGGGTAGAAATATAATGCTACAGCAAGTTCATATCTACAGTAACAATAGCATTATCTACAAAATTAATGTCTTAAGCATTTTGGAACCTACTTTCTTATTTTCGTCCTTCTCCGTGAAGACTGGCACCATCTTCATCCCAAGGTCATCCAGCCCGTCACAGATCATGTCTGCCCGGGCCTGGTCCAGATGGGTCTTCCCTGCCATACCTGCAAACAACGGCAGGGGGCGCTTCAGAACTGAACAGGACTATATAGACTATACTAGTATATAGCATATAGAGAGCATATTAGGCTAGGGGTGTACATAAACCTGCTTCAACTTCTATGTTTTTAGTATTTCTAACTAGTTGAGTTTCTCGTGTAGAAAAGTCATTTTGGCCTACATAATGGCCGATAGAGGGGGTTAGGTTGGGGATGTTCACTAGCCTCTACCAGGCTTTAGAGGCGGCTAGACAGAGGAGTAAACATTGGCTACATTGACAGATAAATGCCGGGGAAGGGGTTGGAGTCGGGGATGCTAACAAGCCTCCACCAGTAGCCTCTAGCAGGCTTTAGGAAGCGCCTGAAAAGGGTAGAAATAGACAGCATGCCAGGGTAGTTAGTTTGCTATAAAATGCGGTTTGACGCTCCGTCTAAAGCCTGGTAGAGGCTACGAAGTTTAACGAAGACCGCTGTGCATTTTCACCCAATATATTCTGCAGTGTCACGCACTTAAAGTTGGTACGCCCCCCCCCCTGATCACACTAGATGCAAATGAGATACGTGACCCTGAATGACCTTGAATACGTGTACATTGTGAGATCACAGTCCATGACTAGTGTAAACAGCAGCAGGGGACGACTTCAGAACATTTTTCTACTCCCAAACAATATCTTAAACCACAAATTCATAAAATATCAAAACATTATAGAATGGAATCAGCTAGCATTCTTACACACAAATAATGTAAAACTGTCATATAAAAGATAAAGAAGGATGCCAATAAAAATTTATCAGTTTCTCAATTCATGTCCTAGCAATTAGAATATCTAACATGATTTGTTTTTTTTACTTTTGTTGTTGTACGTACCGGTTTCTTTAGCGACCAGCCTCCCGATGGCCTTCCCCTGACAGATCATGGTTCCGTCCACTTCTAGGATAGGCAGTTGACCCATGGGAGTTTCTGGTGAAAATTACACATAACAGCCTCCAGTTTAATTCCAGACTAAGTTGATGTAAAAAGTTTCTAGGGGGCGGGGCGGTACAACAAGTTTATAATGTGAGAACTTTAGAACGCAGCTCAAATAACCTGAGGCAATGACACGTACGTGTTTGCTTACAGACCAACTAGACGTGCAGCTTTTTTTTGTTTCGTCGTTTTGCAGTGTTTTCACTGTAAACAAACGTCCCCCAGCCTTATACAACTGGTAGCGTGAACGGTTTGCCAAGCTACGCTACCGCCCCTGGATTTGGGCCAAAATTTTAATTTTAAAAAGTTCCTTTTCTTTTTTTTTATTCCAACATGTAATCACCAGACGTGGTGACGGCACACTCAAGTTTTTTCAACGTATATTAATGCCGCCACCAACCCAGGGGACAAATACACGACAGGACAATACTCATTTACACCTGAGCAAAGTGAGGAAAGTCGTGTCAAGTGCCTTTCCCAAGAGCACAAGATCGGTGGCATGTCAGGACTCGAAGCCGGGACTCTTAGTTCCGAGTGGCGCACTCTACCGCTACACCACACGACCCCACACCTTCCTTGCCACGCCCCCCAGCGACGAACTGTTTCTTACAACACGATACATTGCTGCGCGGACAGTCCCCGATGTTTCTACAATTACCGGGTGGTTCTGACCCCTTGGGCCTAGCTACGGCTACAATTGAAGGCTTAAATACAGGGACTGCATTTCATTAAAACTGGACAGAGGCCCAATGTAAGGTGTTCCCTATCAGATCTAACATCATCTATCCATTGCTCACCTTTGCAGGTATACCTGTAGGCCTCTATGCTATCTTACCTAGATATTACGCAAGCTATAGTGACTAGATAAAGGTAGCATAGAAGCTATAGAAGAAGTGGGTAAACTCGTCTTCCATTGCCTTAAAGGGGGCACACCCCAGTTTATTTGGCGTCTCTATTCGAAGCTGCACACCCTCAAATCTAGCGACTGTCTTTGGCGTGGAATAATTCGGAAGGAGAATAACTGTACATGGGACGAAAGGATATCTCTTCAGCTACAAGACCAGCTGATCGAGTTTGGTTTCTTCAACCTTTTTAAGTTTGGTAAAATCAACGGCAAAAACTCCTTTTAAAACCCCCTCCCCACCAAACCGCACACGTATACCGAGACCAGTACATACTCGGCTTGAGCTCGGCCCACTGCTCCCCTTCAACCCGCACGTCCTCGTACTCAATCCCGCCTGCAGCGAACAGCAGCCGGGCCAACTCCGCCCGGCCCTTCCCCTTGAAATACGTCAGCTTGTAGCTCGGCATCTTAGTGCTTGGTTCGCTCACGAGAAAGCCTTTGATTCCAACTCGGCACGACGTAGTACTAGTAGGTTTAGACCACCTGATGTTAGTATTTAACAAAAGGGGGCTGGGCTTTTGTTCCCTTGGCGGGTATTGGGTGACAGGTTTGCCCGTGTCACAGTGACTAGGCAGAATAGAGGTTGCTTTGAACGGCCATTGGCAAACCTTCAGTAGGTTAAAGTTCAAGGTCCTTACGGACGAGGTCGTGAATTGTACTTGGTATCTACATACAGTGGCTAAACCTACAGTGTTTTTTCAGTGTGCCGCTACAAGTTTATACTAGCTTGATATAGTTGGGACATTCAGAAGACGTTTATATGAATTATTCTTTTTAAAAGATATGTTCACATGCATCAAATTGTGGCATCACAATACTTTTAATTGAATATTAATATTTCTGCCCGTATTATTGTTTATTGTTTATTTGATGGATCTCCATTAGTTAGTGTACTGCAATATTCTTTCTGGGCTCATAAAACACATATTATTACAAACTTAATGTTCCATCACTGAATGCATAAAATATATGCTTTAGTAACAGACTGAATTAAAAAACGTTGAATATGATATTGTAACCTTGCCATAAGCTTTGGTTAATGGAGGAAATAAAAGCAGCAATTTATACAATTTTTGAATGAATTCAACACATTAAGTTTAAAAAAACAGCTACAATAAAACGAGAATAATATCAACACAATGAGAAATAAGAAATAATTGCGACACAAGCACATAATACAAATAAGTACATTTCCTCAAAAGCCTTACGACAACCAACAAACTTAAAAATAGTTTCAAAGTTTTAACGAAAACTAAACAAATTCTGTATCTGTATCTGTATAGCCGGTATAACCGCCCTTCGGCGTAACACACCAGCTTCGCCGGCACGCGGCGCGGCGGCAGCTAGCTATATCACACCAAACGACTTGTTACACTCAGTCCTTGCACATTTAATTGCAGGAGATGTTTAAAGCTTTCTAGTGATGATGCCTGAACTGTGCTTGGTGGCAACGTGTTCCAGTCTACGATAGTTCTTGGAAAATACGAGTTTTTGAACACCTCAATTCTTGGTTGATAACTCTGTTATTTGAAGCTTCAGGCATGAGTATTCATATTTATTAATTATATTTTGTTGTGTAGCGCTGTTAGAATAAGTTATAAACTTGAGTGCAGCGCCATACTGTCCTTTTTACTGTTTTGTTGTGAATTGAAGTAGAGATAGTAGGTTCGATAAGTATATCATACACGTAGAACTTCATGTTAGCAAATAGTCTTATATCACCACATTTTTCTTGTCAATGTCTGTATGCAATTAGCCATCGGGCATGAATTTGCAATGAACAACAATATTGATGAATAAAAAAAACAACGTTTAAGCTTCTGTATTATTATTCAGGGCAAATTTTACAGGTTTTCGTCCAGAACCACCCACCACTTTTCTTTGGTAAGGGACTCTGTGTAGCTTGGCAGATGAACCTCAACTTCAAACAGCATTTAGTGTCGTACCACATCGGGGTACCGGTGGGGTATGACCAGTACCGTCCACAGTCTAACTTCACAGACCCTTCTGTGCCTGGATATCGATCCCATCCCTGATAAAAAAAGCAACATGACATAATTATCTTGAATCTGAGTGTATCCTTTTCTGTAACCTATTTCTAAGATTTTTGTCCATAAAAAATACTTTCATACATACACTTTTATACATTCAATTTTAAGGATCAATGGTCAGTATGTATTGTTAGCCAGTGTCCTCACTATGAGACCGAAAGAAACAGATTATTTCAGACAGTTAACGTTACAACAATTTCTCCATCCTTTCGTCATTTAGAAGATCACCAAAAAAACTGCATTTCTACTAAGATCACAAAACCCACTAATTATGCAGAATGTGGGAGTATTCATTATCCACTGCTTTCAAAGAAGAAGTCGAACCCCATAATAGCTAGCGTAGTAGTAGAAGTAGAAGTTTTTTCCAGACAGTTGTTACCTGTCTCCTGTTACTGTATTGCAATGTGTATTATACTTGATTGTAAAAGCAATTAGCCTTCGGGCATGATTTTGCGAATAAAGTTTCAATTATATACTCATAATATGGAGGGAGGGTCGTGTGGCGTAGCGGTAGCGCGTTGGGCTCAGGGCCAAGAGGTCCCGAGTTCGAATCCTACCCATGTTACCGATCTTGTGCCCTTGGGAAACACTTTCCTCACTTCACTCAGGTGGAAATTAGTACCTAGCTTCGGTATAGGACGTGTAAAATGGAGGTCCACGGTTTGGGGGGAGCCACACCCCACACACGTTTAAGAACCCAACGCACTTTTCGAAAAAGTGTAGGGGACCTTCCTGGTGTGAGTGGTTGACGCAAATTACATGTAGTCAAATAGATCCTGTTTTCTGATGTGTGTTAACGTACCTTGTACATGTAATTTGATAGGAGAGATCCGTCTGCCCATTTCCAGTTGTAGTCGCACTTAACCAGCCCGATCCAGTATTCAAAACTCGGTATAATCAGGTTTCTCAGAGCGACGTCCAATTCCCTCGTCTTGGGCATGGCTAGTGTCGCCCCGTCCTTCTCACAGGCCAGCAGGGCGTCAAAGTACTTCTTTTCGTCATCATAGATCCTGATGCAGGTTTGAGCGAGTAGTTGGTAGCCATTCGGACATTTAGCTGAAACAGTAACACAGGACTTTTGGTCATCATTCTTCAAAATAAATTTCGGTACTTTTACTCGTTAGGAAGTTAAATTTGAAAGTTCACTTTTTACACTAACAATCTTTAGTCGTTTGTATAAAGATGAAGATTTGGTGGTTTTATTTCAGACTACTTCAGTCTGCACTTCTTTTCCTTGTGTTTTACATGATTATCATGTTCTTGTTGTGAGGGTTAGCCCTTATAGCCTCCGGCTAGTTAGGCAGTCCTGGCTATATATATAATATATACGAAATTTAAAGAATCCATAGGAATTTTAGGAAATTCATACGATTCATTACAAGGAAACATGCGGATTTTAAGAGATACATACACGTCTTCGGTGGTTTTGTCGTCACCTGTGGCAGTGTGGTTGTCACCTGTGGCAGTGTGGTTGCCACATGTGGCAGTGTGGAGGTCACCTGTGGCAGGTTTCTTGTTCTCACAACATCATGGCAGGTGGCCTGTTGACGTAAAGCAAATGTGGTCAGTATAAATGTATCCATCGAATGCCTTTATAACAACAAAACACAATGTTAAGGGGCTACTTGCTTGCTGAAACAAGTGTGGATGTGCAAAACCAAAATCATCTAAGATGTTCCTTACCTGAGCTGTAGGTATCGGCGTTGTTGCTGTTTCGTTGGATGCTGGAAACATGTTGGTTGCCTGATGCAGTTTAGTAGCAGACATAAAGGCTGTATCTTTTAAAGTGACTGGTACGTAGGCTGCAGTCACGGTGGTTGTTACAGGCTTAGTAGTTGTCCAATTGCCTCCATCAGTTACCGCAGAGGGCTATAATAAAGAGGTACATTGTACAATGTTACAACTTCTCCAGTTCTTACTTTCTTTGGTTCATTTATCATTGGCATTCACCACATTTGTCGAACAATACACATAACAGCCACATAACAATATTTCTTCATTGCATAACTGTACATGGTAGAATTTATGGCTATGGAATATTGAACATAGTACAGAAAAGAAAAGGGTATAGAATGAAAATTAATCACTCAACATCAAAAGCTAATACAGTATGCTAATCATGAGTTTCGGCATTTTTTAAAATAAAAACAGTCTTTTATGTATTTACCTATTTTTGCATTGTAAGACCCAGAGTTGTTGCATTTTTTTAATAATTATATATTTATATCTGTGTATTGGTGATATGTATGGAACTGATGTAAACTAAAATTACAACAGACTACAGTAGAAGACTAACCATGTTGATTTCAGCTGGCCCTCCGAGTGTAAGTGTACCAGTGAGAAACATGCCGATACCAGCTCCTGCACTTAACGAGGCCAACACTGCAATAGCGATGATGATAAACGGGCAGAAACAGCAAAACGCCCTCTTGCAGCTTGTAAAAAATCTGGAGATGTTTGTACCATAGTTGGTATCTGAGGGGAATCAAAGAATCTTGTTCATTTTGTCTCATCATTATCATATTTACCGGAATTTTGTTGTGTAGTCCATGCTTAGTGAATGCCCAAGACTATTTCCAATATGTGGTGAAAGAGGCTATTTACATCAGGGCCCATCACCCTTCACTCAACCGCGACGGGGGCCGACATTGTCTACAAGATATTTTGACCCAATGTTGACGTCAAAGAAACCACGTGACAAGCCCCACTGGGCCAGTCTACTGAGGAAGACCAGAGTGACTGGTCGAAAGCTCTAGATGAGAGAACTTCATGGTGTTGGATCTAAAGTTTTAACAATGACAATGACAATGACAATGAAGATAATGACAACAACTTTAAACACACATCCACATGTGTTTGTGAACATCTGAATGATCTTCAACGTGGGCATAACAAGAGATCAGGCAGTTGGGACTTTAAACTTACTTAGTACGCTATCCTGGAAGTTTGGTTATAATGATTATAACAGGAACAATCCTCTGTGCTTACCTTGTCGTAAGGCACCACGTACATACATCTTATTTTCAATGAGGCCAGGAATCTTGCGGTCTGTAACTACAGGATCATCTAATTTCTGTCGTAGATTCCTGATTCTATCTGTGTCGACATTGTTGTGTACGTGGCCTTCAGTTGTAGTTTCGGTTTTCTTGCCTTTAGCACACAGAAAAGGCACATTAGATACTTAAGGCACATTTGGTGGATGGGCATTGATGATATTCTATTTTTAATTTTGGGTATATGTAATAAAGTTGAAGTCAAAATAAATGTCAAACAGGTTGCCCCAAAACCTACATGTATCCACCATACAAAATCCAGACAATTGCTCTTCCAGAACTTGAACTGCTAACACACAAACCAACACACACAAAAGGCCCACTGCAGTGACATAGGGACCCCCAATAGAGCCCATTTTCGAATTTGACCGTGGTCTCTACAACAGTAACTTGCCTCCTGAAAATCATGAACAACCTTTAACATATGCTTG